TCTTGGCCACCTTTTCTGCACTGTCATCATTCAATCCAGGACTTAAATACTAGCCATCAACTGGTGTATGTCAAGTTTTTATACCCAGCCTTCACCTGTTTGCTGAACTTCAGACTCACATATCCACCTGCTAATCAACACTTCTACTTGCTTGTCTGAGTGGTATCTCAAACTCAACATGTACAAGGTAGAATCCTGCACTTCTCTGTCTCCTACCTCCAGATCTCTCACCTGAATTTTCTCCCACTGTTTCATATGCCAGGATAAAACTCCATCCTTCTAGTTGCTCAGTATCTAATCTATCAGTAAACCTTTTTGTTCTACCTTCAAAATATATGCAGCATTTGATCACTTTCACTATTTCTACTTCTATCACTCTGATCTGGGACACCATCGTTTTCTTGCCTGGACTATTGCAATATAACCAATTCTTTGTATTGTAACCATAGTGATCTTTTCTATCCCCTGCTCAAAACAAAATCCCAGCATCCTTTAAGCCTCTATGGCCAGCCCCTGTTTAATCTCTTTACCTTGTGTCTCAAGTTAGGGGTCCTCTAGACCTGTCTCAAGCTAGAATAGTGTGGTGTTCTTCAAGAACACCTAGATAGCATGGCAGTCTAAAGTGCAGGAGGGAATGAAAGGAGAAAGGACTGTCAGTGACAGCAGACTACTATTTTGTGGAATATGAAGGTGGAGGATGGGAAGAAGTGAAGACATTAATAGAAGCAGGACTCATGGATGAAGGAGGCCTTCTTCCTCTACAAAGTAAAGGATTTGAGTGTCTCAATGTGTCTATGGAGAGTAGCCCAGGGGAGGGAGGGGTTAAAGCTATTGGTTATGGGACCAGAGACACAGCAAACCAGTACTGGGAAGAGAGGCACTTAGGACTCTGGTGTGGTTTTCCTCCACTTCACCCCCTCTTTTGGTCAGAGCCTTCTCAGTATCTTCAGTCCACTGTCTCTAGCCCTTTCTCCTTGATTTCCAGTGCCTGCACCTTCTTTCTTGTCTGCTCCTGGTCTCCTGAACGTTGTGGAGGGATCTGACACAGGTTCTGAGAGCCACATTGCTTCCTGGATGTCCCCCCCCAACCTCAATCCCCAGTTCCTGTCCTCCTGGATGCTTAAACTTCCCTACTGTGGAAGCTGATCCAGGAGGTCAGGAGGTGCTACCTTTTTAAAAAATATTTATTTATTTATTTTTTTAGCTCTCGGTGGACACAACATCTTTGTTTGTATGTGGTGCTGAGGATCGAACCCGGGCCGCACGCATGCCAGGCGAGCGCGCTACCGCTTGAGCCACATCCCCAGCCCTAGGAGGTGCTACCTTAAGATTTTTAAAACCTGTTTTCAGTTCCAAAGATCCATTATGTATTTGATATCTCTCTGCAGATTGAATCACCTAAACACTAAAATGTATCTCCAGGCACAATAATAATAATCAAATAATCAAAAGTGAGAGGATACTGAAGCATAAACTTTGCAATCCCCTCTGTTATCACCTAGGGTACCATACTTGGCTATTGTGGCCCAAATGTTTATGTACAGGGATTTATGTTTTCTTGTTCCATGCTGGGGATGGAACCCAGGGTCTTCTGTATGCTCAGCAAGTGATCTACCACTGGGTCACACCTAGCTTCAGTAGGCATGCTATGATTTAATCAGCTTCTTTAAGATCTTTGGGTTAACATGTGGCAGTTGCCTTAGCTGACTTCAGTGCCGCATGCCTGTAATCCCAGTGGCTCCGGAGGCTGAGGCAGGAGAATCTCAAGTTCAAAGCCAGCCTCTGCAATTTAGTGAGGCACTTAGCGACTCAGTGAGACCATGTCTCTAAATAAATTATTAAAAATAGCTGGGGTTGTGGCTCAGTGGTTAAGCACTCCTAGGTTCAATCCTCAGTAACTCCCCCCACCCAAAAAAAGAATAAACAAACAAAAAACAATTCTTTTGCCTTTAGATCACCCTCCTCTGAATCCTCCCTATGCACATCTGTCTTCAAATGTGCTGCCTCACTCTTCTTCTGTATCCCTTGGAAAACTTTAATGGCTCCTTGTTGACTGTTTGATGCAGACCACAATTTTCAACTTGGCAACCATTTAATGTGTCATTCAAGTTTTATGGACTTCCTGTATTTGCAACAATGTGTTAGATGGTGAGGGGACATGTAAAAAGGAAGAATACACATGATCATCCCAGAGTTTAAACAATGTGATATGCAGTGGTGCATGCCTGTGGTCTTAGCTGTTTGGGAGGCTGGGGTAGGAAGAATGCTTGAGTCCAGGAGTTTAAGGCCACCCTGGGAAAAATGAATATGAGTGCACATACAGATTGTGGTATATATACATGACAAAGGGCTTGTGGTCAGTAAGGGCCTCACCATTCTGCCTGTCCCTAAAAGGTCATCATGTGGCATATGAATCTTATACTGGCTGTTTTTCTTTAATTATGGTAAAACACATAAAAATGTTCATTTTAACCATTCTAAATGTTTCAATAAAAATTTTATTACTCCAAAGGAAAACCTATACCCAGTAAGCAGTTGCTTCTCAGTCCCTGGAAGCCACTTAATTTACTTCTTGTGTCTATGGATTTGTCTATTTTAGATAGTTCTTGTAAGTACAATCATATATTATATGACTTTTTGCATCTGGCTTCATTCATTTAGTAGCATCATGCTTTTAAAGTTCATCTATATTATAGCATGTGACAGGAATTCATTCCCTTTGATGACTGAGTAATATTCCATTGTATGGATAGACCACATTTTATTTATCAGCTTATGAACTTGGGGTTGTTTTACCTTTTGGCTATTGTTAATAATGTTGCCATGTACATTTTTGTTTTGTTTTTGCTGTGAACATTTGTGTATAAGTCTTCTGTGGACACGTGTTTTCATTTCTCTTGAGTGTATACCCAGGAGTGAAATTGCTGGATTATATGCTAATTCTGTGTTTATCTGAATGAGGAACTGCCAAACTATTTCCCCTAGTGGCCAGACTATTTTACATCCCTGCCAGCAATGTATGAAGGTTCCAACATCTTCATATCCTCACCAACACCTGTCATTCTCCTTTTGTTTGATTATGGCCACCCTAGTGGCTACGAAGTGACATCTCATTGTAGTTTTTTCTTTCTTTTTTTTGTACTAGAGATTGAACTCAGGGGAATTCTACCACTGAGCCCCATCCCCAGCCTTATTTTGTATTTTATTTAGAGACAGGGTCTCACTGAGTTGCTTAGCGCTCTATGTTGCTGAACTTGGCTTTGAACTTGTGATTCTCCTGTCTCAGCCTCTGGAGCTTCTGGGATTATAGGTGTGTGCCACCACACCCTGCTCTCATTGTAATTTTAACTTGCATTTCCCTAAAGACTAATAGTACTGAGAATCTTTTCATGTTGGTTGGCCCTCCGAATATCTTCTTGGGAAAAAATGCCTATTCAAGGTCTTCGCCCATTTATAATTGGTTGTTTGTTTTTGCTGAGTTATGAAATTTCTTTAGATATTTTAGATTCTAGACACGTGATTTTCAAATATTTTCTTCCATTGTGTGCGTTGTATTTTTATTTTACTCTCTTGATAGTAGTATACTTTGATGCATATTTTAAGATTTAACGAAGTCCAACTTTTTATTTTTCTTTTCTTGCTTGTGCTTATCTAAGAAACCATTGCCAAATCCAGGGCCATAGTGCTGGCTTCTATTCCATGATTGGGAGCTGTGGTTTGCCTGAGGCAGTGTCCCCAGAGTCCACATAACTCAGCACCCTATGGATGCTCACCATGTATTTGGCAGGGACTACTGTGTAGTGGGACAGGAGCTGACCCTTGGGGACAGGAAGTCTTGTGTGTGGGTCCAGCTTGACCAGGGACATGATTGAATAAACATCAAGTTGTCTTTTAAGCTGTGAGATATGGTCTGACCATAGAGGAGGATACAATTAGACACATTTTGGAGCTTTGTCAGGTTCAGGTAGCTGAGTGAGGCCTTCAGCAATGGTAAGGGCTTTTTGGTTGTGATGATGGAAACTGGGATCCACGGAACAGACTTATAAGTAGTAGAGACTGGCTGGTAACTTAATAATCTTTATATTGTTCCCTGGAAATAGGGACTAGCTTAGTAAATATTTCTGGCAGCTTGATGAAGAGACTGTTTAAGGTATTCCATTACATAGACCTCCTGATGTATTGTACTCTATCTCACCTTTCTTCCAAACTTGCACTTGTCCTTTTTAGTAGACTTGCCTCCCTATTACCCTCACACTAGTCAGTTCCTCTGCTTTGCATCCTCATAACCCTGCCCAGAACATCCTTGCCTCTCATCTCCTATTTAATTCATCCCATTCCTCCAGGCCCAAGGTAGTATCCAGTTATCCACACAACCTCAGTACTACCACTCCAGGAAGAGGTGTTCAGATAAATTTACCAAAGTTTAGTATCACATGAACTTAGATTCAGATGTAGGTGCCACTAGCTACTATGTAGCCTTGGGTGTGCTTGCCTGCCTTCCTTTGCCTTGTTTCCTCATTACTACTATTTTTACCAATGAGGAAACAAGGCAAAGAAAGGCATAAATAGTAGTAATAATGAGATCAAATGGTTTTTGTGGCAGTGAAATGAAATAAAATATGTAAAATTCTTAGTAAGAAATCCCGCTCATAGTAAGTGGTCAAAAATGGTAGCTGTACTGTTTTCTGTATCTAAATCTTACTTCATTGGCAAGATTGTATGTTTCTTCTTCAAGGCAGGACTGAGTCTTGTGCTTATTTTAACTAGTATATGTGGTTCAAAGCCAGTACTATAATAAGTGCTTAAGAAACATTTGTTGCTTTGAGGTGAGTTTGTGATTACCCAAAATTACTTGCCTTATTTTTATAAAATTTTATACTATTCCACCATTCATTTTGACAAACCAAACTTTTGCTTTGCTCTCTGGTGATTTAGGACTGACAGTGATAACCTGATTGAATGTGTGAGTGTGTATATGTTTGGGGATAGGATGGGTAGGGATGGTGGAGGTATTAGCAATTGATTCTCCAAGGAGCAGAGCCAGGCAATAGCTTACCATCCTGAACATTGCTTCTAGCTTTCCTCCCCCAGCCTTAGAGTTGGGCTGTTACCTGCCCAGGGCAGCTGTTATAAGTCTGGCTGCCCTGGACAGGGCTGCCCAGACCCTCCTCCATTTATTCCAGCCATCTTCACTGCAAAAGGAAATGAAATATTTTTGATTCTCCTGTCAGACTGTCCTGCCAAAGCATCATGCTTTGCAAGAGGTTCTTGCCCTGGTTATACACAATCCTGGCAGCAAATTCTGGATAAACATTACCTCCTGGAGAGAGAGGCAGGGTCATGAACTCAGAGGGGGCTTCAGTTGTATCTGAAATGCTTATTTCTTATGCATGGCTATTTGGCACATTCATTCTATGATATCATATGTGATTATATTGTATCTCATATATTATCAAGTATATTATATAATCTTGAATTTGCTGTTTACCATTTCCATGCATGTGTAGGCCATAAGTATAATACTTTGTATATGTGGAATTATCAATTATATGTTCCCTTGTACCACTTAATTTTTCCTGGACATATTTTGGGATTTGTCTATATTGATATATGTAATTTTAGACCTCTGTGTAAATATTCTGTTTTATAAGGAGAACACAATTGGGATATCTCTTCTTCCATCTGCAGAAATTTGGGTTTTTTTTTTTTGTTTGTTTGTTTGTTTGTTTATCCCCCTTGCAAACACTGCTGCAACAAATTCATCTGATATCCAGTTCCTTATGCTCAGGGGCAAGCGACTTTTAGGAGTAGACTTGCCAGGCCATGGGACATATACACAATTCTCCTTGCTAGAAGATGCCATCCCTGTCTTTTGAGTTCCCAAGCAGCAGTACATGAGAGGTGATATTGGTTCGTATACCCTTGCCAACCGTTGGTGATATTGTCTGTGCTGTTTTTCTATCCACATCACCAAAAGAGCTGGGAGGCAAAGCTTTACAATTAGAAGAATGTCAGCTTTGAGGATTTTCTTGTTACATTTCTTCTAACGAGGACAAGATTTTGTTTTCTGTTTTGGTGAAAATAATGTTTAGACTTCTGTGGAAAATAGTTACATTTCTACTCTGAAGTAGAGGGTATTTTTTCTCTTTCTTTTCTTCTGTTTGCATTCTTGGCAAATAAGTAGGAAAAACCAATTAGCAATGTTCTAAATGCTTGCTTGTGGTAATTGTTATTTTGAAATGTTTTAAATAGCATGGCGCATTAGGTTTATTCTTATTGCTTTTCAAAGTTTTGAATTCGTTAAAATGAATTGAATTTAAAATGTGACACAACTTTAGGGATAAAGATTGATCATAATTATTTACCACTCTGTGCATTTTGGGATGGGAAAAATAAATGAGATAGCAGTAAGAGTAACTCTGACCATTTTATGTTTTCTCTTGTCCTCTCAGGTGGGAAAGGAGAAGTTCCATAAATCCCAACATTGGGGCTTTTGCAACAATGTAAGGATGCTAGTAAGTGATGAGAAACCTGGAATAGGTGGAGTACCACTTATTGGGCAAAAGATAAAGCCTAAATATGGTGCATATCCTAAAGGAGAAGGAATTGATGTGCCATCCTGGGTAGCTTTTGATAAACAGGTAAGTCCCATGGCATTGGGAAAAATGTAATCTTAAAGTTTTACATGTTGATTTGAGAAAATAAGAGTCTTCAATATAAATGTTAAGCCTAATTCTTTGTTTTCTTTTTGGCTTTTATACATATGATTTCCTTTACTTTGGGTGTTTCTCTTTTAATTTTTTAATTGACATGTAAAAATTGTACACAGTGAGGCCGGGGTTGTGGCTCAGTGGTAGAGCACTTGCCTAACATGCATGAGGCACTGGGTTCGATCCCCAGAACCACATAAAAAAACTAAATAAACAAAGTAAAGGTATTTTGTCCATCTACAACTAAAAAAAATTGTATACAGTTAGCCCTCTGTGTGCACAGTTTCCATATCTGTGGATGCCAACCTATGATTGAAGATATTCAGAAAAATATTACTTCTATACTGAACATGCATAGACATTTTTCTTGTAATTATTCTCTAAACAATACCATATAACAACTATTTACATAGCATTTACATTTTATTAGGTATTATAAGCTATCTAGAGATGATTTAAAGTATATGAGAGGATGTGTGAAGGTTATATGCAAATACACCCCATTTCATATAAGGGACTTGAACATCCTTGGATTTTGGTATCCATGGGGGTCCTGGAACAAATTCTCCACCAACACTGACGGATGACTATGTATGGAGTACAATATGTTGTTTTGAAATATGTATATATTGTGGAATGGCAAAATCAAGCTAATTAGCATATGCATTACCTTACATACTTATCTTTTTTTTTGTGGTGAGAACACTTATAATCTACTCTCTTAGCAATTTTCAACTTGCTACTAATGGCTGTCACCATGCTTTAGAATGGATCTTTTGAACTTATTCCTCGTGTCTAGCTGAAATTTTGAATCCTTTATGACCACAGCTATTTCTTGGCTATCTCTAGGCAAAAAGACAAATTCAAGAGAAAAATACCCTAAACAAAGATTAATTATCCTTGCTCTGCTGTTTCTGATCAGGCACATGGGTTGCAGAATGCCTGGCTAGTGCTTCTCGACCATATTCTCCTCTTTTTCTCTGTACAGGATAATCTGTCTTTCTGTAGACTAAGTCTGGTCACCCTGTTATTATTTTTGCTTAGTGAGTTGCCATTAGCTAAGTAAATTTGCTTCATTCTGAATGTGGAATTAAATAGGAAGATAAATTTACCTTATCTTCTTTCCTCTGTACTAATTATGATTCCCTAAGGACTAAAGGGTGACTTGGCAAGGGTGACATGGCAAGAATTGTAGAAGTGAAGGGAAGAACTGCCATTATTAGATGAGAGTCTGAAAATACACACACACACACACACAGAACACACACACAAACACAGAGTTAAAAAAGGAAATGCATTTGATGCATTTGAGTGTCTACTTTTTTGTGGTACTAGGGATTGAACCCAGGGCCTTGAGCATTCTAGGCAATGCTCTACCACTGAGCTACACCCCCAGCTCTTGAGTCTCTTGAAGAGGGTCTAAGATCAAAGGAAAAGAAACCCAAGCTAACCAGTTTTTTCCCAGAAGGCAGCTATATGGATATGCTGTGTTTAGCAGAAAACCTTGTATCAGAACCCCATGTTCTATTCTCCAAAAAAGAACCTGTTATTAGATTATTTTAGACCCTATAATTAAAAATAATTCAGGACTAGATGAAGCATTCAAATCATAGTATGCCTAGTTTACCAGGTGGTTTTTTAGCAGTCTTTAACGTGGATTGGTTGGCAATCCTTTGATTCTAATTACAATGTCCTCAAATATGGTTGAAGTGACACATTCAATTTCATCTGATAGGGTACATCAATTAGAGCACACACATAATTTTTTTCAAAGCCCAGTTCTGATGCTTAATAGAGATCTAATAGGGCACAGGGAGCCTTTTTTCCTAGGAAATCATCTACTTCCAACATGGGCCAATACTACTACTACTTCTTCTTCTTCTTCTTCTTCTTCTTCTTCTTCTTCTTCTTCTTCT